CCTCAGGCTACCATCAAGTTCCATAAATTGTCTTGGTCATCTACACCTGACGAGCCTCAAAAGTTTTTTTAAGCTAATGTTGACTCATTTAATATAAGACCTTATGTCCCTGCGTCTCTTCAACCTCTTGTTTTTGAGTTGTTTCACGGTTTGGCCCACCCCAGTGCTAAAATCACTGAGAGAATGTTAAGGAAGTTTTATATTTGGCCAAAGATTTCAGATGATATTGCATTATATTGCAAAGCGTGTATCCCGTGTCAGCAGTCTAAAATCACTCGTCACAACAAGCCTGCACCGATGCACTTCGATGCTCCGGACTCTAGGTTCCAGCACATTCACGTAGATTTAGTCGGTCCCTTGCCTGAGGTACAAGGTTATTCGTATTTATTGACAATGATTGATCGTTTTTCGCGGTGGCCAGAGGCGGTGCCGGTCAAGGATATGACGCCGAGACCGTGACGGAGGGTATTGTGCAGCATTGGATCTCTCGCTTTGGCATTCCTTCGGTTATTACAACTGGCCAAGGCAGGCAGTTTGAAGGCACAGTTTTTCGTCAATTCGCGGAATCTTTAAGCTTCGAACACATACATACAACTCCGTATCATCCCCAGTCGAACGGCGTTGTGGAGCGTTGGCATCGAGATTTGAAGGCTGCACTTATGTGCAGAGGCCCTTCACACGAGTGGCTTGTAGCTTTACCATCTGTAATGTTGGGACTTCGCGCTTGATGCATTTTGGATACAGATATGAGCCCTGCTTTACGGCAAAACGCTTCGCATACCTGGTATATTTTGCGATTATGATAACGAGGAGTTGGACGTTGAGGCTTTTAGAAATTCGTTTTTGAGACATATGGCTGCAATTAAGCCTTTAGAATTTGAGCGTAAGTCAAACGTTAAACCTTTTTATTACCAGGATCTCGATACGTGTTCGCATGTTTTTAAGTTGATTAAAGCCGGAAAACGTGTACTTATGAGACCTTATACGGGACCTCATAAGGTAGTTGGTAGACATGCATCGCGTAAGCATATGGATATTATGGTTAATAACAAGAGATGCACGGTTTCCGTCAATCACTAGAAGCCTGCATATATTCTCTCTGAGTTGCTTCAGATTCCTGAGACCCCACAACCTTCTGTAAATGATTCTGGTAAGACACTTGCTCTGACTCCGCAAAGGAGTGACGCGACTGAGTCGTTGATCGATCTTGCTGCTGACACTGCTGAAGGGAACTCTCCGAATAAAGTCGTTGATCAGTCTGGACAGAAAGGAACCCTTCCCCCGTTGATTCCCTCTACCTCATCTCATGCAAATCATTCAGCTGTTAAAAGAAAATCTTCTACTGAGAGTTCTGAGCCTCCTAGTAAGATTAGTAAGGATTCCTCTCATGAGTGAAAATTTACCTATTTTTCAGATCCCTGGTGCAGGCGTTTGATCGCTTGCGTTCCGATGTCACGGTTGCCGCCGCTACTTATGATGGGGATCATACCATTTTTGAGGGTTTTCATCAGGCTTTGGAAGAGGTTGAGAGTAAATATTACACAACGGATTTTTATCAGACACTTGACGCGCGACCGGAGGATCCTCCGCGTTTGAGACTTCCGGATTTGCCAGTATTAATAATTGGTGGTCGGCCAGTAATGAAATTGTTTCTATACAATATACACTCGTTTATGACTCGTATTGAACTTATGAGTTTACTTAGCGTAGCGCGTACCTCAGATTTTGATTTGAAAAGTATCAAGCGCCCGAGAGATAAGAAATCTAAGGGAACCACCTGTATTATACATTGTAAGACCCTTGCTGCATCTCTGCGTCTTCAGAGTGCTGCGCTTACATGTGTGCTTGACGTTGGGTTTTTTAACGTTAAGGAAAACAAATTCGAGCCATGTTATGCAAATATCAAGCCTGATAAATGTTACGCCGGTCTTGCTCACCCAGTTATGTTTTTGCGTCAGGAATTTTCAACCTCTTTCGAGTCACACACGTTTATTCGTTGTCGACCTATACTGTCGAGGGTTTATGGTACTCTTAGATCTGATGCCGCTTTGAATCTCACCTTTGCCTTGTGTAATCATCCCATAGCGCTTGAAATTCTCTACTCGAATCACTTTGACTTCGCTTGGCCGCTTTTTTCATTGGACACACCATATGACTTCATCGAAAAACATTTTAAACGTTTCCTACCTCATTCGATCACATTTAATGGTAAATATTATGATTATAACTACGATTTATGTAAGCGTGCGATCGAGAAAGCTTATAGCGTTGGATGCAGTCGGCGAAGTTCGGACGTGGTTGCGTTGCGAATATTAGATTTAAGTATGATTCAAACGAATCATGTATTTTTAAATTACATATCTGAAAAGTTTGTATTGAACGAGTGTGTCATTGGCGAAACGCGTTTCCGCTGTGACTCAGCGATTGCGAAAATAATTACGAAGAGATTGGAGTTCAGAAACACCTTCTGGTTGCATGGATCCTGTCGAAAGGACTCAAAGGCTTCTGAAATAAGAATAATTGATTTTATACAGCTCTCTTTCAGAGAAACTGCTGACGCTTTAAGATCCAATAATAATATCAATTTTTTACTTTTCCATAATGTTTCGGCGTCAGATTTTAACGAAAATATTGCCTACTTGTTTGAAGCGTTGTTTTCTGATCTGCAATCTCTGAGTCACGTGACCTTCATTTTTAAGCAACCATTTGTTATTGAAGGTGCACCGGCACCTGTTTTTGGCTTCAGCGAATGTGAAAAAATACGTTACTTGGATATTACTAATGCAGTCTTTTTGAATAATGTTTTGCATACCTTATTATGCAATTTGCCTAATCTTGAACACGTAATATTGTTTAATTTAGAAATAATTGAACCGACATCTCTCAAACAATTGCTGAAGCTAAAAACATTACAATTTAGCTGTGTACCTAATTTGAAACAGGTTTTAAACTGTATTCCGCGTGGAAGTTTGAAGGTTGTGACTATCGAGTGTAGCTCTCTCTATCCGATGGGAGATTTGGAAATGATAGTTCCGGTTTTGCAGAGTAACATTATTGTTAAACTCCTTAATTTTGCTTTAAGCAAGTTGCCATTATGGTTATATAGACTTAAGTCTGCGAAAAAAGTAGATATTATTAGCAGTAAAAACGCTGTTAAGTTTATGCCAAATTATTAAATATAATACTTTATATGTTAAATTCGTTTAAGAATCCTTTTCATTAAGCGTTGTAGCATGATGCGATAAGTTAATGACATGTTCGATGCGTTTATGAGTTTGAGTAATATTTTGTTATGAAAATTACAATATTTAATTTAAGTACTCAAGGTGTATAAAATTTTATGTTTGTTTAAATTTAAAACAGAGTGATTAAGTATGCCAAAAGTCGATTTAAGAGATAATATTATTAAGCTGAAAATGTATATTTAAATACTGAGATTGTTATTATTTATTTATTGTTGATAAAAAAAAAGAAGGTTAAACCTTTTACTTTTTTTTTCCTTTTTTTTTAGAGGGGGAGTATTATGGGGTTTGGCGCATGTTTTAGTGTGAAAGCACCTTGCACGACACGAGTTTAACTATGTTTCACGAGTGTGAACGCGCCGTATGTTCGACATTGTAACGCGCACGCGCGAGCGACGAGAGCGCGTTCGTCACCTCACAGCACGTGTAACGGTCGCTGCGTCGACCAGATCATTACGAGGCTTCGAGACGCAAACATTGACTCTCCACTCAAGTTTGATTAACAGCTTGCCGACTTAATAAATTGATTCGACTTACAAGTATACCTCGTTGTCACCTTCTTTTCTACCTTCCTTCTCGAGCTTGTATGGGAGCTCGATACTGACTTGGAGTCAGTACAATTGTAGTGTGGACTCGACTACACATAGTCTGCAGACTTAGCCTAATTAGCCTATATACGCCTTTCCTCGCTCAGTCGCTTATAGGCGCGACGCTCACGAGCAGGCGCCACCTAGCGGTGTGAAGCGTAAACAAAATTTTTTTTTAGAAAAATCACTATACTCCATAATTTTAAGGGTATTTTTTTTCATTGGTGGTGTTTAAAATTGTGTAAGTTAACAAGTTGTAACAAAAAATTGCAAATTTACAACAAAAAAAAACGTGTTTTTGAAGAAAATTTTTTTTTCATTTCAATTCTTAAACCACTTATTGTTATATGGGGGTAAAATATAAGTAGAACGTGACCTCGCGGTCTCTACTTTAAGAAACCATGGTTACTTTTGTCAAACAATATTTTTTTCTTAACAAAATGGCAGCTTGAATAAAAAATTTGACTATATTAATAATTATAACTTAATTTGTCGTTCTGTGTAAAATAATTTTAAAAAAAAAGTTTTTTAATTTTCGCGATGGTTTTTAGTGGAGTCCAAAATGGCACTTATGTTCACGCAACTAAAAAACCGGTCTCGCAATAGGCAACTACTTTGTAAGCATCATGATAAATTTGCTTCATGGACTATCCGAGATAATAGTTTTAATCAAACAAAAAACAAAGGTACAGCGTTTAAAACCGTAATAGTCAAAGTAAACATAATCAAACAAATAAACAAAATAATAGAATAACAATGGAAATTGTTTTAATTGAAGATCATTTCCTTCTTCCCCTTTCCCTGCAAAATTTATAATAAGTTCACATTATATTATTGAGAGGTCGTTGGCTTAGTGGTTAGCGTGCTAGCTACAGAAATAAAGGCCGCTCGAGGAGCCTTGGGTTCAAATCCTGCTCCACCTGTCTCGGGGCAAATTTTTTTCCTGGAGGGTGGAGTAGGAGGGTGTAGTGCATATACATTACGTATACCCCCAGGTTTCCCTTGCCGCACAGGTCCTCGGGTTTGGGAAAATGCGAGACAGTAGGAAGGGGGTTATTATAGTAATCTCTACTGCGCATAGCCAGTAGTCTCCTGCAGGCCCTTCTCAAGAAGAAAGCGTAATAGAGAGAAAAAAAAATAAAAAAAATAAAAGAGAAATTAATTGACTTACCCAACAGTTGACAGTATAAGCCTGAAAAGTTTTGAAGACAGTTGCATGTCACAATTCCAAATGTATTAATGTAGCATCCATTTCTGTATCCAAGACATGGACATTTAATACATGTTCCCAAAGCATTTTTTGAATTATCATAAATGTTTCGGTAATATCCTACTTCACAATGTTCACAAGACATTCCACCGTAGCCTGAGGGACACTTACAGAGTTCTATTGTTTTAGATTTTTTATTACTTATCACGTTCGTAGATACTTCAACAGTCAAATTGAGTAATGTAGAGGATTTCGCGTCGTTGCAGAATGTTGCACGGACTAAAATTGATTCAACATTGGCAAGAACTGTCATGAAATCAAATCTTGTTATACTTGGGAAACCATTCAATGAAACGTAACGCCAATGTGACTCTGTTAATGGTACTTCATACGTCTGTAAAATAATACTTTTATGAATCAAGATGTTATTTAATGATTAATGAAAATGCATTATAGTACTTTATGATACAAGTGCCATAAGTAACACTTTCTATTATGACATACTTTAGGGCCCAAGCGCAGCAAGGTTCGCTTCCACCTACTTCAATTTAAAATTTAATGCCCTTTCAGAAACTGCTCAAAATTTTGAATAGTAAAAAAGTTATAGCTATTTAAACATAAAAAAAACGTAAACATTTTTGCTAAAAGTCAATTTCTTGACTTTTTTAGGCATGTTACCGCTTAAAAATGTTAAGACGAGAGTGAATATGCTCCTTTCGCCTTAAGTTTTTTTGTGGTCCTGAAAAGGACCGATTGGTTTCTTGGGCAATGTTGTCACTGCTGTTCAGCTCTTTTCTTCTTCCGGGCTATCGATCTCTGGTGATTCCGTTCTTTGCGGTGGTCTGAGCGAAGCGTGGACGCTTGGCTGGTGGTAGACTGGTGGGCTCGTCAGGCAAGGCAGGTGGCGTCAATGCTCTAGGTGGAGAGCGAGGAGTCACTGGTCGTCCTAGACGGGAGAGAGCTGATGGTCGATGAGGCGAGGTGTTTGCCGTTTCTTGTAGGAAGGCCAGTCCGAAGTGGCGTTTGACTGGGACCTCAGGTGACCTTGGCGGCGTCCGGACTCGCGGCCGAGGACGTGGTGGCTCTGATGGTTCCAATCGAAGCTTGACTGTCCGATGTAAGTGGAACGGAATCGGCGGATTCTCCCGCAGATATGGAGACAACGGACTGCCCGGTGATCGAAGGGCTATTGGCTGTCTCAGGCCTGGCAGCTCGGGTCGAGGAGTGCGGGCGGGTAGCACGGAGAGTCCGGGCCGAGTTAGTTGACGGAAACAAGCCTGTCCCTCGTCGTTGAAACGATTAAGTCCACTGCCCGACGGGATTACAACAAACGAAAGTAGGCGCTCAAGAGGCAAACGTTCGTCAGTTGGTCTCTCCACGCGGAAGCGGAGATATCTTTTGTTGTCACTAGCAGAATCCGAAATGACGAATCAAAAATAAATTCTTGATTACAACTTCGTCCTTATCTAGCCAACAACCTTGACAAGTCGAGCGCGTCGAGTTGTCAAAGGCTCCGAAGGCTAGAGAATCGTGTAAACTCCAGAGATCGGAGAGAACACTTCGCTTGGGTCTTGGTGACTCTTAGGTAGAGTGCCACACTTCTCCGGATGGGGCGAGGAGTTGTGCTCAGCGCAAGAGCTCGCGAGCGAATGCCGGCAGCGGCCTAGCGCGCCAGCTTATATAGCGCGGCGCGGACGGCGCGCGACGCAGCGACGCCCCCACCACCGCTGCCGGCAGTTCGCTTTGGTTTGGGAAACGGCGCCGATCACAGTGAGGCTAAGAAACGGCGTCGATTCGCAAAGCTCGGCGTGACTTGCAGTGAGCGGCTAAAATACGCGTTTGGCGTAAATCAAAAACATGAAATAAACATGATTAGAGGTGATCACGACTCTCAAAGTATCTCAGGGAATTTTTGTGGAATTTTTGAACCACCTTTCAAATTTTTGTTTTGTACACTTTTTCTCTAAACTCAATAGTTTTCGAGTAAAAAATGAGTTATTTTTTATATTAATATGGGTTATTTTTCGTCTGAAGGAGTGGTTCAGAAACTCCATAAAAAGTCTCTGAAATACTATGATAGTCATGATCAACTTCGATCATGTTTATATCTTGATTCCTTAGCGGTAACATGGCTAAAAAATTCGAGAAATTTATTTTTTGCCAAAATGTTTACGTTTTTTGTTTGTTTAAATAGCTATAACTTTTTTATTGTCCAAAAAATTAAAATTTTGAGCTCAGTCTTTGAAAAAAGATTAAATTTTACATTGAAATAAGTGGGTGCGAAATGTTTTAGAGGCTTAACAATACGGAACAAATCGCTTCCAAAGTCAACAAAAAAATCAAGTTTATTGGTCGTTAATGGGTTAAGCAAAATGTTAAGGTATGGAATGCATTTAAAATCGAATCAAATCTAGCGATTGTTTACAAACAAAGTTACCATTCGAAACATACCATAGGTATTCCAAAAGTATAATTAATTGGATTGATCCAAAACAATGATATTCCATTACCATTGATTACAATATCTTGATCACGATAACATGCTGAAGTTGAATCAACTTTTATGATCTGAGTAATACCTAAATTACCTCCATAGCTTGAAAGCATATTACCTTTAAATTCTTCAGGCAATATCCAAAATAATCTTTTTTGAGAAGATGTATGAAGTTTCAAATTTCCAGTAGCCTTAGGGTATCTGAAAATTTTTTTTTACGATAACTATACTTGAATTATTCTTTTATTAAAAAAAAAAATTAGCTCAACATAAGACAATTTTTCTTATGATTATAATGTTACGTAATTGAAAAAATATTTATCATAATATAGTCTTATTAAAAATATATATGCATTCATTAAATATAAATAATCAAATCGAAGAAGCATCTGATTAATTGATTTAATAAAATACCATGTGGCAGCGTTTTCACCTTTTACCATGGTGAGTTGATTTAAGTATTCAAAGAATATGGTTTATTACGTATTAATTTGATATTGTTAGACTGTTAATTAGGTTGTCCGTTATTCCCAACTTTTTTGTATTGATTTCCCCATTGGATCAAATTAAACATAAGGGGCTTCATTATTTGATACCAGGAGACCAAAACAAAATTTTCAGAACATTTGGTGACCCGCATCTCATGTGGTTTCCTTGTTGGACAATGAGAAAGCCGGTATAGAAAATGTGAAAAAATGATTTTAACCCTTTTCGGCAAGAAACGACCCAAGCTAAATGTCACTCTTCGGAGCTGTACAGTTCACGCAATTGGCGTTTGAATAAAATGCGACCTACATATTTTTCAAGTTTGAAATCTCTCCTTTTCAATGGTGGTATTTAAATTGCGCTAAAATGTTATTAACACAGTGAAAAATTAGTTTAAACAAAAAAAAAACACTTTTTTTTCACTTTTTTTTTTAAACCAAATTTGAAATGTGTTTCGAGTTTACCACGACTTGACTTTGATACACTACATAAGAGTGGATTTAGCATTTGTAAAACAACTCTCGATCCCAATGTTGATCAAGTTTTGAAGGTACAAATTGCTTCAACCTTGATCGACCAAAAATTCTAACCATCATTTCGTCAACTGCATGAGCTGTAGAAAAAAAACCAAACTGTTGAATATTTTGTGTAAAGAGAGTTAAAATTTTACGGACTTTCCATGCTTTTTTAGCATCATTATCATCGTCAGCTTTCGAAAATTTTATTTTCGATTCAATTTCACAAAACTTATTACGCGACATCGCTAAAGGAACTACCGAGCATGATACAAGATCATCTGTGTCCCAGTACTTCCTTTGATCTTTTCTAATGATGAATGATGACAGCAGCAATATACCAACGAAAGTATTCAGTTTTACGAGAGATAAGTCTAAGCCGTTTTCTCTACTAGCTTCAATAATATAGGTTTTTATAGCATCAGAAAAAAAGAGCTCGAATAATTCTACGTGCGACATTGCCAATAATTTTCGGCAAACGTCATCGCTCGGGAACAATTCGTTATCAATGTTTGCTTCATAAACTTTTTCTCTAGGATTCCAAGAATAATCATGATCTGGTTCCAATTTTTTTTAAGTTTTGGAATAATTTTTTAAAACCGATCGATATGTAACATTATGGAAACGATTTACAGACGCAGAATTCTCATCATCTGCTGCAGAATCTCCATCAGAGCCACAATTTTCTGTATCAGGAATCACAATAATTTCATTTTCAGAATCAGGATCATCAATCTGAGACAACTCAGAATGACGATGCGTTGAAATTTTTAAAAATTTTCGTTTAGGCATTGCTCCAAACAATGAAATGGTTGGTGCATGTGGAATGCTGAATTATACCGCTGTTGCTTACGAGTAAAAACACAGTGAAAAACGCTACGAAAAAAAAAATACTGATAAAATGCCCCGAAAAAAAAACACAGCTCATTGAATGCTGTGAAAAAAAACACACCTCATCGGAGCGCCACAAAAAAAACACACCTCATTGAATGCCATGAAAAGAAACATAGCACATTGGATGCCGTGAAGAAAAACACAGCAAATTGGATGCCACAAAAAAACACACCTCCTTGAATGCCGCGAAAAAAAACACAGCAGAAAAAAAACGCAACAAGTTTCGATGAGGTGTGTTTTTTTTTCGCGGCATCCAATAAGCTGTGTTTTTTTTCATGGCATTCAATGAGGTGTGTTTTTTTCGCAGCGCTCCGAATAGGTGTGTTTTTTTTCATGGTAACCAAAGAGGTGTGTTTTTTTTCACGGCGCTTCGATGATGTGTGTTTTTACTCGTAAGCAACGGCGATACTAGATGCAACTCGGAAGTAAAATATTCATGAATTTTTTTTCTCGAGAAATATCAACTTTAGGAGCTTTTAAGTTTTGTAAAAGAGTGTGTCTAAGCGTACGCGAAAGGTTAGAATATGATTGTCACGGCAGCGAGGTCTGGCTTCGCGTACGCGAACAGAACTTTAGCGTGCGCGAAGTATGAAATGCATAATTTTTCACAAACAGCTATTGTTCGTAGCGTACGCGAAGGATGCACTTAGCGTGCGCGAATAACTTTTCGCGTACACTAAGGACAATAGCTGTTAGTGAAAAATTATTTATTATTATGTATTTCGTGCTTCGCGTACACGAATACTCTTTCACGCACGCGAATAACTTTTCACGTGCGCTATGCAAATATATAAAAAATCATTTAGCAGTTGTATGTGTGCTAAAAATTTTGAAAAAAATGATTAGGTACTGTATCATGAACAAAATTTTATTATGAATTCATACAATATAAGCTTTATAATGTCAAGTACATTTTTGTATTTATAATTCAATTATTATAAGTAATTTAAGAGTTTTATTATAGAGAATTGAAACATACAAACATTTTTTTAATCTTATTATAAATAATAATTATTTGTCAACAAAATCATTAGGTGACTACCACTTGATTAGTTTCTCGTGCACTTGAAAATATGATATATTGAACACATTAAAGCATATGTAGATTGTTATTTCGGATATAACAAATTTATATTGTAAACATTTGACGAGAGGCTCCAGTCGCTCGTGCTGTGCGTGGCCGTAATGCTCACATGCACTTCATCATATACAAATGCATGCATTACATGAAAGAGTGTTGATTAAATTTTCTAGACGTTTTTATTCCTTATAAAAACTTACTCCTGACTTGCTTCACTCGCGCGTTCATTTACTCGTGCAATATATCCTCCTTGACTATCTTATATATTAAGCGGTGAAGTCAACAGTTCTTTCAAAAATTCTTGCTTTTCCCCAAAATTCTTGCTAAAAAAAAAAAAAAAANAAAAAAAAAAAAAAAAAAAAAAAAAAAAAAAAAAAAAAAATAGATCGATTCGAAATTTCTTGCTGATTCCAAAAAACTTATCCGCACCCTTTAAAAATTAAGGGGTGCTTAATAACGGTGAACTCTACACTCCAGAAAAACTAATAAATAATTCTATTAGTTTCATATTTTTCAATTTTGAAATATTCAAATATATTCAAATTATGTTGTTACTACTGTACCGTACTCCGATGTTATCAACTGCGATTTTACAGAACACGATTACCTCATGCCCAATACATGTTACCGACATGTATACATTGATAAAGCCACGATACAATGTCAGACACGTGTGTTCGATTCTGTTGTGATATTATACTATACTAGGACATATCGTGTGCAATCCAGTGTATAAAATATTTTCGAATAAGTGTGGTTAGAAACGTAAGTGCAACTGTTTAATTTTCTTATTTATTTTGTATGTATGTAATTTTCACTTACAACAGTTTTGAATCAATGCGTTGTTTATTTCACAGTTCGTCTGCAATTGTACATGAGCAATGGGTTCATTTTTATCTACATCTTCAAAACCGGATCTCGTACGTATTTTATGCAATCCAATTTCAATCGTCCTACTAAAAGCATTAACTAAACGCATTACTTTCATACATATTCTCTCAAATTTTTGTGCATTGTTCATATTCTTAAACATTTTCTTGATACATTCTTTAATATGTGAATTCGTTGTGATACTCGCAGCCACAGCAAGATAGCTTGCAGGACATAGTTGATGCATTGCACACACTGCAACACACACAAGACCTTGCAATTGACAAGTTGCAGGAAACTGTAAGACAAGTGTCTATAGATCTTCATGATACGTCGAAGGTGCTTGCAAAAGCAAAATCTTCACCATCAGTGAACTCGACTGCATCGTCGCCTTGTGCTCAACCCTCATTGCCTGCAACCTCACCTTCATCGTCAACCAGCTGCGTCCAGTCAACGGAAAACATGGACTCAATGCAATTATTGCCGTATGTCCATCCTCACTGTGGATCTTTCACCCAATATGTGGCGATGTCACGTACGGCACCTGGCAATATGCCGGTTGAGGTCCTCGTAGTACCTTCAACGTTATACTCGAACGGTAAGCACTTCAATTCTCAGGTTTCATTCATTATTCGGTAGTTTTATTTGTTTTATATATTCCGCCACTTCGATCGTTTCGTAAATTCTTCAAATATTATTACGTATTCTTCCATATTTCTACATTCAACATGTTAGCTTAAAGTGCCTGTAACATTCTTCTTCAGATACTGTACGAGTCCGTTATCGTGGGAGCGGAGGCCGCAGTCGCCGAAACTGGTATGCCCAGCGAAATCAGCCTTATCGTCCAGGACGTGGTCGTAACAATTGTTACGACGTACGACGTAAGCATTAATTAATTCAACTCATATCCGTGATTTTGCAGCATTAATTGTACTTACCGCAATATATCTATAAATATACCACTGCTATTAGTGTAAATGCATCGAGCGATAACGAGTACATTTTTATATATTTATTCACTTTTATTTATTATTCAATTACCAATAATTATAATATATTTATTTTTATTGTTCAATGTAGGGTGGAACCCATAAGCTCATTAAACTGGTACTTCCAGCGATACCATTCGTATCATCCAGAACTTCTACAATTGTCATCATAAGTCCAGTTTCTTTACTTCGTTAAGTTTCATTTAATTTGTTTTACAAATAAATTTGTACAAGTTTTTTCTTTAAAAATAAACATATTTATTCTACATATATTACACTGTCTAATTTTACACTCAAATTATTACACGATTTTGTTGGATTAATCTATGCATTCTTTATATATATTGCATCTCCTTCTTCTAATTCCATGATCTTGTCATTCCACAAGCTTACCATCATCTGCGATACACATTGAAACATATTATTATTAAACATAATTATTTTTTCGTCATAAACATCTTATCATGATCAACGTTACCTCATCGTCATTTCCGTCCTTTAACACGATTTTCATTCGCAAAGATTTCATCCACTTGTCGATTGCAAAAATTTTATGCACTATTCCTCGTACATCTGTAAATTGTTTGTTTTTGTTTTTTTAATCCACACTATATTACAAATTTTTTTAACTTATACATATTATATCACAACATAACACACTTATTATTTGTCTTCGTGTAACGAATCTCATTGAACGATACAACCTTGTTTTCAATTGGCATAAATGATGACCTATTTATTCCTGTAACATCCTCAATTTTCGTTGTTTTTTTAATGATAATGTTTATACTTGAATTACTTGTCTCATCTTCATTATATGCACTAAATAACATGTCTGTTCTTTCATAAACTCGATTTATCTAGAACATTACAATTTATTTTATAAACAAATTTTGTCGTATCATTACAATGTATACCTCATATTTACCTTAATTTTTTCATACACATCCGATACGTTCGTTGTCACGACTGTTTTCATTTCCTTTCCACTTTTATCAATGCATAGAAAATGAAACATTGGTTTTCTTGTACGCTCCGAACTTGTAATCTTCGATTTGCTTACTATACGACACGTAACAGATACTCTACAAACAATTCATGAAACGTTCATGATTTATTCATACTTACAGCTACTATGTATTATAACTATGTATTCTTATTATCAAGACCATTATAATTTATTGATAATCTTACTTTGCTATAGTTTTCAGCAAATGATCAAAACCATTTGTTTTAATCATCTGCGGTGACGTTATCCTAATTTCTGGTTCACTCATGTTATCACTGCACAGAATTGTTGTCAATTAACCACTTCAGAGCTATCGTTCTTTAAACATATAAAATACTCCACGATACACACACAATCATGCATTAATATATACTTGCATACGCCATCTACCTCTATGCCTTCAACTTGGTGTGGTATTGTCGATAATTACGATTTTTTTTATACAGGACCACTGCATGTGATAGGTGCACTGCACGTATCGTGCGGCTACTCTGGGATTTTTGACAAGACATTTTTATGCTTACTTTCTTTCTCTTCAGCTTGCCACCCCTCAAAATTTGCCGCCCTAGGCTATAGCCTATATAGCCTATACCTAAATATGCCTCTGATCGTGCCTATGATTATTTTTATGGCCGCTCACTTTTACGGCATCTATAATGTGACATAACTGTTTCAAAATTATCACATAAATAACCATTACGTACTTACTTAAGAGAATCAAATTCTGCATCGATCTGTTTTTTTTTTACGAACCTTTATTTTTCATTCATTTTTAATTTAATTTTTATATCTTGAGGGGTGAAGTCAAAAATTCTTTTTTAAATTCTTGCTTTTCCCTAAAATCCTTACTAAAATTCTCTAAAGAAAAATAATATTTTTTAAAAAATGGCGATCTCTACTCGAACCACACAGTCTAATATTTTTCGTATATTTTCGATTGTTTTTTTTT